CACCGCCACCACTGCCACCGCCACCACCGACCTCCACCGCCGCCACCACCGCCACCACTGCCGCCACCACCCCCACCACCACCACCGCCACCACCGCCACCACCGCCTCCACCGCCGCCACTGCCACCACCACCGCCGCCACCACCCCCACCGCCCCCACCGCCACCACCGCCACCACCGCCACCACCGCCACCACCGCCACCACCGCCACCACCGCCACCACCGCCACCACCGCCACCACCGCCACCACCGCCACCACCGCCACCACCGCCACCGCCACCACCACCACCGCCACCACCGCCACCACCACTTTGCAACGTGGACTGACCTTGTATCGTGTAGGACGTGCAGACGAGGATGGTGATGAATAGCCATCGATGGTGATGAACAACCGTTGATGTGCCGAGATGTTGTCGTGGGATCGAGCCGGCGACTGCGGCTCCCACACGGTGACAGAGATAGCATGATGATACAGCATGACGAAGCACGACGAGCCGAGACATGGCTAGTGGGGTGCGCGGTCTCAATGGAAATAAAAAAAACGCGGTACACGACCCAGTGAACACGACCGACCGCGCAAACCGTCCCGCGGGTCAGGTTGTGTTGCGCATCACACTTCGGTGCGCATTGTGATTCTATTCCTTGCTATTCTTGCTATCGTTTCTACTCACTGCTATTCGTCGTTTCTATTCATTGCTACTGCTTTGCAACGTGGACTGACCTTGTATCGTGTAGGACGTGCAGACGAGGATGGCGATGAATAGCCATTGATGGCGATGAACAACCGTTGATGTGCCGAGATATTGTCGTCTGGCGAAAATCGGTTAGCGAGCCGATGCATGTAAAGAGGCCAGCTTCGCGAAATACCGCGCAGCTTATGTCGGCAGCGCAACTAGTCTACAACCGCCAGCTTTAAAGCAACCGTATCTGAAAATAAGTAAACCGGATGCATATATATGCGGTGCAATTATATTGTAGCGAGCCAACGTCCATGAACAAAACAGCTTCACAAAATGCCGTACAGCCTACACGGACAACATTGGACAAGCACTGCACAGTTCAGTGCGCGTCAAATTGCGTGGTTCGGTGTACGTTAAATTGCGCGTTGAATTGCATGTTTAATTGCACGTCGAGTTGTGTGGTGGGTTGCGCGTTGACATGCGCGAGTCGGCGCATGTCAAATTGCGCAGTGCGGTGCAGCCAATGTTTTGCGATTTGCGTGTTAAATCGTGGTGCGGTACGGTGCAGTGCGGTGCGGTGCGGTAAGCGGTCCCGAACGAAAAAACAAAAAAAACTCACGCACCGGGATCGAGCCGGCGACCGCGGTTCCCATTCAGTGTCGGAGCTAGCGCACACCACAAGCGGTGAGCGCCGATGCTCCGGCGCGCAATGCGCGGGTCCAGGTGTGGTGCGGTGCGATGCACTGCCACACGCAGTGTGGCGCGGTGCGGTGCAACGCGGTGCAGTGCGGTGCGGCGCGGACACCGAAGCGGTGCACGGCGATGCTCGGGGGCGCATTGCGCGGGCCCAGGCGTGGAGCAGTGCAGTCCGGGACGACGCGGTGTGCAGTGCACGGTCCAGAACGAAAAGAAATGAACAATAAACGACGACGACGCGAAAAACGAACCACGCGACGACGAAGGCAGCGCTCCCGAACGAAAAATATAAGAAAGCGGGCGCCGGGCGACGAAGCCAGCGAGCCGCAACGTAAACGTAAAAAATAGACAAAACGACGCGCCGGCGCCGGGGTCGAACCGGCGACCGGGGCTCCCACTCGACGTCGGAACTACCGCGCCCGACAAAGCGGCACACGGCCATGCTCCGGAGCGCCTTGCGCGTGCCCAGTGCCCAGGTGTGGTGCGGTGCGGTGCCATCCACGTTCGGCGCGCTGCGCCGAACGAAACAACAAAACCGCAAAAAGCGGCGACGACGGCGGGGCGCGAACCGGCGACCGCGGCTCCCACGCGGCGACGGAGCTAGCCTAAAAGGCGCGGCTCCGAAACCGCGGACAAGAAGGCGAAAAACGGCAACTTAGCAAACGGCAACCCGGACGGACGGACGGACGGACGGACACGCGGACGCCCCCCGCAGCCTAAGGTCTCCGTCCCGACGACGGAACGACTAAACGTCGTCCGTCTAACGTCGGGACTACGACTACGTCCGTCTAACGTCGGGACTACGACTACAGACGGACGGCGAACGAGGCGCGGACCCTGCGGTCCCGAGGGTGCCGTAGCTCTCGGTCGGGTCCGGTCTGCATATGCTTGCACATCGCATATGCTTGCAGATCGCATATGCTTGCACATCGCATATGCTTGCAGATCGCATATGCTTGCACATCGCATAATATGCTTGCAGATCGCATCTGATTGCAGATCGTATATGCTTGCAGAGCGCATATGCTTGCACATCGCATATGCTTGCAGATCGCATACGCTTGCACATCCGATATGCTTGCAGAGCGCATACACTTGCAGATCGCATATGCTTGCAGATCGCATATGCTTCCAGATCGCATATGCTTGCGCATCGCATATGCTTGCACATCCCAAATGCTTGCAGATCGCATATGCTTGCAGATCGCATATGCTTGCAGATCGCATATGTTTGCATACTGCATTGCTTGCAGACCACATATGCTTGCAGAGCGCATATGCTTGCACATCGCATATGCTTGCAGATCGCATATGCTTGCGGATCACATATGCTTGCAGAGCACATATGCTTGCACATCGCATATGCTTGCACATCGCACATGCTTGCAGATCGCATACGCTTGCACATCCCATATGCTTGCAGAGCGCATATGCTTGCACATCGCATATGCTTGCAGATCGCATATGCTTGCAGATCACATATGCTTGCAGATCGCATACGCTTGTACATCCCATATGCTTGCAGAGCGCATATGCTTGCACATCGCATATGCTTGCACACCGCATACGCTTGCAGACCCCATATGCTTGCAGAGCGCATATGCTTGCACATCGCATATGCTTGCAGATCGCATATACTTGCAGATCGCATATGCTTGCATATGAGATCGCATATGCTTGCAGGTCTCATAAGCTTGCATATGAGATCGCATATATATAACATTAAAACATATTGCACCTTGCATATTGCATATTGCATATTGCATATTGCATATCGCATATGCTTGCGGATCACATATGCTTGCAGAGCACATATGCTTGCACATCGCATATGCTTGCACATCGCATATGCTTGCACATCGCATATGCTTGCAGATCGCATACGCTTGCACATCTCATATGCTTGCAGAGCGCATATGCTTGCAGATTGCATATGCTTGCACATCGCATATGCTTGCAGATCACATATGCTTGCAGACCACATATGCTTGCAGAGCGCATATGCTTGCACATCGCATATGCTAGCAGATCGCATATGCTTGCGGATCACATATGCTTGCAGAGCACATATGCTTGCACATCGCATATGCTTGCACATCGCACATGCTTGCAGATCGCATACGCTTGCACATCATATGCTTGCAGAGCGCATATGCTTGCAGATTGCATATGCTTGCACATCGCATATGCTTGCAGATCGCATATGCTTGCAGATCACATATGCTTGCAGAGCGCATATGCTTGCACATCGCATATGCTTGCAGATCGCATATGCTTGCAGATCACATATGCTTGCAGATCGCATACGCTTGCACATCCCATATGCTTGCAGAGCGCATATGCTTGCACATCGCATATGCTTGCACACCGCATACGCTTGCAGATCACATATGCTTGCAGAGCGTATATGCTTGCACATTGCATATGCTTGCAGATCGCATATGCTTGCACATCGCATATGCTTGCAGATCACATATGCTTGCATACTGCATATGCTTGCATACTGCATATGCTTGCAGCATATGCTAGATAGCATAGCATAGCATAGCATAGCGTAGCGTAGCATAGCATAGCATAGCATAGCATAGCATAGCATAGCATAGCATAGCATAGCATAGCATAGCAAGCATAGCAAGCATAGCATAGCATATGCTTGCAGATCGCATATGGCATATGCTTGCAGATCGCATATGCTTGCAGATCGCATATGGCATATGCTTGCAGATCGCATATGCTTGCAGATCGCATATGGCATATGCTTGCAGATCGCATATGGCATATGCTTGCAGATCGCATATGGCATATGCTTGCAGATTGCATATGGCATATGCTTGCAGGTTGCATATGCTTGCAGATCGCATATGCTTGCAGATCGCATATACTTGCAGATCGCATATGCTTGCATATGAGATCGCATATGCTTGCAGGTCTCATAAGCTTGCATATGAGATCGCATATATATAACATTAAAACATATTGCACCTTGCATATTGCATATTGCATATTACATATCGCATATGCTTGCAGATCGCATATGCTTGCAGAGCGCATATGCTTGCACATCGCATATGCTTGCAGATCGCATATGCTTGCAGGTCACATATGCTTGCAGATCGCATACGCTTGCACATCCCATATGCTTGAAGATCGCATATGCATAGCATAGCATAGCATAGCATTTGGCGCAGCATAGCATAGCATAGCATAGCATACCATAGCGTAGCATAGCATAGCATATATGCATATATAAAACATAAAAACTTTGCATATGCATATGCAAAATATATTTTGCATATGCATATGCAAAATATATGCACATATGCATATGCAAAATATATGCACATATATGCATTGAATTGCATATGCATATGCATACGTGCAATATATAAAACAAAAAAACATAAACGCGCTGGGGGTCGAACCGGCGACCTTCCGTTCTTTTCGGCGCGGTCTTTAGCATGTACGGCACGCTCCCGAGCCGGAATTACCAAAACGCCCCGGACAGACAACCGGACAGCAGACTAGACGCGGGCTGGGTCGCCCGCGAGGGGGCCGTAGTCCCCCGGCTGGGCGGCACGAGTCCGACGTAGTGTGGCTTAGTATGTTTGAGTAATGCGCTGACACATATAGACGCGGTGCAGTCCATGCGGTGCAGTGCGGTGCGCCGAAGGAAGGAAGGCCAAAAAAGCGGTGAACACTTACCGTGTGTGACTATGGAGACCTTGCAGGAAATGTTGTATTTAACGCCATCCA